AAAAATAGCCCGTGCTGCTGCATTCTGGACCAGCTGTAGCTTCCGGATACTCTTCAAGGGTAACCCCATGTAGAGTGCATTGCAGTAGTCTGTCTGGGAGATAACAAGGGCATGAGTGACTGTTCGAAGGGCATCCCGATCCAGGAAAGGGCGTAACTGATGCACAACCCAAAGTGGTGGAAAGGCCCTCCTTGCCACGGCTGCCACCTGCTCTTCAAGCAGGAGCTTTGAGTCTAGGAGGACCCCCAGATTACGCACTGGGTCTGTCTGGGGCAGTGCCACCCCATCCAGCACCAAAGATGACAAAGTCCCGGATACAGAGGAGCTATTAACCCACAGCCACTCCGACTTACCAGGGTTCAGCTGAAGCCTGTTGTTCCCCATCCAGACCCTTACAGTCTCCAGGCACTGTGAAAGGGTGGCCACGGCATCACTTATTTCACCTGGGATGGAGATGTATAATTGCGTATCATCAGCATACTGATGATATCTCATCCCATGATGGTGGATGATCTCACCCAGCGGTTTCATGTAGATGTTGAAAAAGAGCAGAAAGAACTGAACTCTGCGACACCCCACAAAGGAGGGGCCGAGGATGGGACCTGTTGCTCCCTATCACCACCGATTGGGATTGGCCCTGAAGAAAGGAGGGGAACCAGCACAATACTGTGCCGCCCACCCCCAATTCCCTGAGTTGTCCTAACAGGATACCATGGTTGACGGTATCGAAAGCCGCTGAGAGATCAAGGAGAGCAAGGATGTTTGCACTTCCACCATCCCGCTCCTGCCAGAGATCATCCATAAGTGCGACCAATGCTGTTTCCATTCCATAACCGGGCCTGAAACCTGACTGGAAGGGGTCCAGATGATCCGTTTCCTCCAGAACCCTTTGGAGCTGTGATGGAGCTTTTTGGAGTGTGTCAAAAAGGGGAGGTGGGAGACTGGACGAAAATTGTCCAGTACAGTAGGATCCAGGGAGGGTTTCTTGTGGAGGGGGTGCACCAAAGCCTCCTTAAAGGCAGCTGGAAACACTCCCTCCTGCAAGGATGTAGTAACCATCGCCTGAATCCAACCACATCACCTCCCGAGCTGCTTTCACCAGCCAGGAGGGTCAAGATGGCAAGTGGTGGCCTTCACAGTCCCCAGGATCCTGTCCACTTCCTCAGGAGCAACAGGATCAAACTGTTCCCAGATAACTGGGTAAGAATGGTCCCCCGGTATCTCCCCAGACCCTGCCTCATGCTCGGACTCTAACTTGGAACGAATCCGAGCGACTTTGTCCCGCAGATGCTCCGAAAATTCCTCTGCACGGCCCTGCAAATGAACCCCCACATCCCCCTTGCCAAGGAGGGACCTAGTGATCCTAAACAGGGCCGCTGGGTGGCATTCTGTGGACGCAATAAGGGCGGATGAGTATTGGCACTTCGCCGCTCTTATTGCCACAATGTAGGGCTTGATAGCGGCTCTAACCCGTGTTTGGTCGGATTCGGTCTTTGTCTTCCTCCAGTGGTGCTCTAGACGTTTATTGACCCTCTTCAGCACCCTCAAGTCCTCCGTAAACCACGGGGAGTGTTGGGGCCGATGTGGCGAGAGAGGTCGCATAGGCGTGATCCTGTCCAAGGCCCTGGCTGCCTCCCTATTCTAGGCAGCAGCCAAGGCCTCTGCTGGACCGTGCAGCAGGTCCATGGGAATATCCCCCAGCTCCCTCTGAAACCCTGACGGGTCCATCAGGCGCCGGGGGCAGACCAATTGCATGGGTCCTGCCTCCCTGCGGGGGGGGGTGGTATAGGAGAAAGTCAGGGTCACCAGGATGTGATCTGACCATGACAAGGGAAAAGTTGTAAATCTTCCCTCAGATCACTTTGCCATTGCTCCAACAAGAAAACCAAATCCGGCATGTGGCCACTGTC